AAGAATCGCAGAACAGAGGCACATGAACGCCCATGCTTGTTGAGAAGCACGCAAATGCTAATTCTACATGCACACTCGTGTTTACTGATGAGCACGCCCCTGCTACAATAGAAGCATGACCGTGTTTATACAAGCACGCCTATGACAGTGATAAAAGCACAAGCGAGGAGCCTAAAAATGAAAAGAAGGAAGAGCCTCTTGTTCAACCAAGGCCTTATGAGCTTAAGATACCTTTCCTACAGCAGCTGCAAGGTCATCCTCCTTATGATAAAGAGTTCCACAAGTTCTTAGACTTATTGGGCAAAGTGCACATCATTATGCCTTTCGTTGATGCTATCTCCAAAATGTCCAAATATGCTAAATTTTTAAAGGAGATTTTGACCAATAAAAGAAAGTTGAGATTCGTTGATGCTATCTCCAAAATGTCCAAATATGCTAAATTTTTAAAGGAGATTTTGACCAATAAAAGAAAGTTGAGAGAACATGAAACTGTGAAGCTCACCGAAGAGTGCTTAGCTATAGTCCTTAAAAAGCTTCCACCTAAGCTTAAGGACCTAGGGAGATTTACTATTCCTTGCACAATTGAAAAAACTCATATTGATAAGGCTTTATGTGATTTAGGAGCAAGTATTAATCTTATGCCTTATTGATTACTACTCACAATATTGCTATTTGTATATGCTGAGTGAAAAGTCTGAATCAGTGGATGTCTTACAAGTGTTCATTGATGAGGTGGAAAGACAACTAGATAGAAAGGAAAAAGTTGTGAAATCATATTGTCACGACCCCTTAGCTGAAATAACATGGCCAAGGAACTTCGCTTCCTCTAGCTAAAACTAACACTTAGATAATTTAGCATACAATTATTTCTCTTTCAAAATACCTAATACAGTCCTCAAATGCTCTGCATATTCCTCTGGTGAACTAGAATAAATCACGATATCATCAATGAAGACTATTAAAAACCGATCCAGAAAAGGTCTAAAGATCCAGTTTATGTAAAGGAATGTGTGGCTCCAGAATAAAAAAATACAGAAAGAGAAGTATTTGTCACTACTACTATTTCCTGAACAAGATTCGTCACCTGGGCTACCTCTAATGCAGAAGCAGTGAATACACATCCCTATGCTCTCAGTTGATTGTCGCTTGGGCTCTAACTATTCTAGGTCTCACAGAATGCAAGGCACTAGCAGAAGATGAGACTACCCCACTAGGTGTAGGCAATTTATAGCAAGGTGCCTAGGCTACTGGCATGAAAAGCAAACTCTAACATCAACCTGTGGGCACTGGTTCAGGTAATGGGATCCACCACACCTGAAGCACCTGACAGTCTGCGACGCTAAGGCTCTTGGGGCTGAGGTAGTTGCTCCTCTAAGCTGAAATGCAGAAGTAGCAGTCCCCAGCGGTACCGAGGTTGATGTTGTCGATCCTCTCAACTGAGATGGTTGAGACTGCTACTATCGAGATAATCGACTATAAGGGCCCTTCTTAGCACCCTTGCCTCCATTACCATAATCGCTAACGACTCTATTGGATGGAGCCTTTCCAATTCCACAAGTGTCTTTAACATTTAGGCTCTCAATAATGGTGGTCTAGTCCACTAAATCAGCAAATTTTGTAATTCTTAACGAAATCAGATTCATCTTAATATCAGATCTCAACCTATCAACAAACCTTTGACATCTCTATTCCTCTGAGGTTGGGTGAGAATAAAATATGTACAGCTGCTTGAACTATATAGCATACTCATAAACTGATGAGCTCCTTTGCGTCAAGCTTAGGAACTCTTGCTCTCTAGCAGCACAAACATGGGCAGGGAAAAACTTCCCAGAAAGCTATTTTTGAATATAGCCCAATTGATAATTTTACCTCTGGCCTCTAGCATAGTACAAGTAGGGATGGAAACAGGTCAGGTCAGGCCAGACTTTACTCTAACAGGCCTGACCCGTAACATAATTATTAGCCTTAGTCTGGCCTGTTATATGTTAAAAGCTTTATTTTAGGCCTGACCTGTTTAAGTGGCCTGGCCTAGCCTGAAGCCTGTTAACAAAGCCTGTTACAAAAAAAATAAAATTAATATAAATATAAATATAAATATTTTATTATTAAATTAGTTTATATAATTTTCTAATTTTTATCTATGTTATTAATAATTATTAAATAATTGTAATATTATTTATATAATTTTATAAATAATTTTTAAAATATTATTCAAGCATTAATTATAAATATTTTATATTAAAAAATTTATATTTATATTTCTCTTGATTTATTTTTTAAAAATTATATAAATAGTAAATATTTTAGTTTTATTTTAGAAACATATTTTGTTTATTTAAAGACATCTTATATTCAACAAATAAAATTATAGTAAATACATAAAATTGATTAAAAAATAACATTTACACAATTTGTTGAATCAATTAAAAGAAAATTATTATATTTTTAAAAAAATTTAAACTTAATGCAATATATATATATATATATATATATATATATATAATGACAATAATATTAACTATTAAATAAAAAAATAATTACAAATATTTAATTTTATTTGTTTCAAATTTACAAAATATATATATCAGATTTCAAACACATTCATAGATATGCATTAAAATAATTTAGAATATATCTAATTTTTTTTTATAGCAGTATAATATTTTAATATATTTATATTGAAGTTATATTTAAATATTTTTAAATAATTATGGACCTAATAAATAATGTATACCTTTTTTTACTTATTTTTAATTTAATTTACATGTTTCCTTTGATCTAATATCTTAAATTTTTTATTAATTTTTTTATTTTCATAAATTTTAAAAAAATATTTATATCATTAAATTATTTTATAGTTTATTTTTTTCTTATCAAACCTTAATTAAAATATAAAAAATTAACAAACTATATTAATTATTTTTAAATTTAAAATAAATGCATAAAAATTTAATAAATTTATTATTTTAATTTTATGACTCATACAACTTAATTTTCTTATGCTTAATTAATTATTTAATAAAGTTAATTTATTTACAATGTTAATTAATAGTAAGTTATCAACCAATATAAAATAATTTAATCATTTTAAAAAAAATTAATTCTATATTTTTTTTATTATTAAACAACTAAACTTATAAATTAAGAATATATATTATATTATTATTAATTTTTATTTATAAATTTTTGTATATTTTTCATTATTATTATTTTATTAATAATAATAATAATAATAATAATAATAATAATAATAATAATAATCTGATGAGTTATCTTTTGAAAATTTTATATCATCTTTTAATAATTATACAAGAAAAATTTTATTAGCAATTTTAAATTATAATTATAAAAACCAATGTATCATATAAATTTAGTTTAACGAATATATTTTAATTTATTAGTAAAAAAATATAGAGTATTTTATTTAAATTTTATAACTCATATTGAAAATTTTTATTATATTTAGTAAATTATTGTTATAATTATTTATTTTAAAATTTTATGACAATGAATAATTTTATGAGATCATAAATAATATAAATTTTATTTTTAGATTTTAAAAATAAGAAATTTTATACTATTTAAAATTAATTTCTTAAATTTATCATAAATACTTTTTTTAGTCTATCAAATATTATAAATTAATTTAATTTACTCTAGAAATTACTAAATTATATAAATTTTATTTTTACAGTATATTTTTTTAGATAAATGTGTTTATATAACAATAAAAACTAATATATTTTAATTATATAATTTTTATGTTTTAACTGAAATTATTATTATTATTATTATTATTATTATTATTATTATTAATAAAATCATGACAGTAATAAAATAAAATATTTTTATTTATACTTTGCTTAATCAACATGTTTTTTTTATTCTAGTATTTTAATTTATCTATTTTTATCTATTAATAAATAACTAGAACTAAAAATATTAAAAATATGTATTATATTATTATCAATTTGTTATATATTATAATTTTATTAATTAATTTAGTTTTCATAGCCATGTAGTAAATTAAATATTTGTTAATGCATGTCATCATTAAGTTTTTTTAATTAATTTAGAGAATTCTAAAATCTTTTTCATGTAATAATGTTAATATTTTGGGAAGGTTGATATTTATTTATCTTCTAAAATTTATTATAATTATTACTATATGATATTTATTTATTATAATTTATTTTAAAATAACTAATAATATATATCATTAAAAAATTAAAAATTCATTTATTTATTTATTAGTATTTTTTAAGATGCAACGTATTATTAGTTCTATTATTATTTAAGTTTTTTATTTCAAGAATTTTAAAGTATTATTTTAATTTTATTATTATTAAATTAATAAAGAATTGTTTAAAATTATTCATATTTTTAAATCAAATTACTTTTTTATATCAATTAAGAAACCAGTGCGTTGCACTTACATATTTATCAGTATCAAGATATTCTTATTATCAACGTTCATTTATTAAATTTTTGCTTACAATTATTTTTTATTAAAAAATTCACGAGTACCGAATGCTCAAAGGTGTGAGGAGGGTCTTATTTGTTGCTATCGTAACTCCATCTCTACCCCACCTTTTGCGCTGTCTGGTGGACGTAAAACCTCAGCCGTGAAACTTTTTCCTAAATTTAATTAGTTAAGCAAATCTCAAAGATCGCATCATATCCAAAACCCACAATTCTCTAAAATTATATTTTCATGAAAAAAATTAATTTTTATAATATTTAAGATAATAATATTTTATGCTTAATTTCAACCAGACATGCATTATCAGAAGATGTGCCCGACCATTTTCTAAGCCCCAACATCCTTGACGATGGTTATCTTAGATTTAGTTATTTATTCAAAAACAGTTTTAATTAGTACATTTAGTTACTGCTTTTAATCAACGACGACGCGCTTTGGCTTTATCCCTTTGAACCATTCTAAATTGCCAAGCGTGATATATCATTGTCATAACACAGCACTAGAGACCTACCCGAAATCAAACTTAGCAATCTCTCCATCACCAAACAAATTATAGAAACGCACAGAAAAATCTCTCACCATTCATAATACCAAAAGCGAAACAACACCTTTAGAGCTTCATCACCAAAAAGTTACCATGTCCATGTCGATGATCCAAAGCGATCAAATAAGGCAATTGAACGACATTTTCAACCGCTTTGACATGGACTCGGACGGAAGCCTCACCCACTTGGAGTTGGCGGCGTTGCTCCGGTCCCTCGGCATCAAGCCAACAGGGGACGAAATCTATGCTCTATTCTCCAACATGGACCACAACGGCAATGGATACGTTGAATTCGATGAGCTTGTGCAAGCAATTATGCCTGATATCAATGAGAACGTCCTCGTCAACCAAGAACAGCTCTTGGAGGTGTTTGAATCTTTCGACCGCGACGGCAATGGCTACATCACCGCCTCCGAGCTTGCCGGTTCAATGGCCAAGATGGGTCACCCCCTCACGTTCAAGGAGCTCTCCTCTATGATGGCTGAAGCAGATACCAACGGCGACGGCGTTATTAGCTTCAATGAGTTTGCCACTCTCATGGCCAAATCTGCCGCTGATTTTCTCGGCCTAAAGGTTGCATAGATCAAACTGAATTCGAATCGTCCACATTCTGTGCTGTTTTTCGTTATTTTAGGGTTTTAATGTTAAGTAAGGAAGGAGAAGAAAGAGAAATAGTTGTTGAACCGTGAAAGGATATGACTATTTATTTTCTCTTTGGGTTGAAAGATTGACCGACGGTAGTTTGCTGTAATTTGTTAACCATAATCCCTTTTGGTGAATGTAGATGTCATTGGTATTTTGCTAATTATTTCAAGTTAATCTGACACTTTCGTATTTTAATTTTACCATTTATCTTTCCATTTGCAAGAACCTTAATTAAAGGCTTTTCTTGCACATCATAAACTGTTTGTTTCTCTTTTGTTTGAGGAATCATCTTAAACAGTTGATGCAACCATTAAACAATTGATAAATTACGTACCACATAAAAGGATGAGATTGACGTTAACGAATAAGTGCTATTCTTTCCTTAGAATGGGGACATGAGTTTTGTACCCGCATGGAAGATGAATTACTTTCCGCCCATGAAAAAAAATGGTACAGAAAGATAAGAATAATTCTCAGTAAATAATTTTACCCTCTTGCATGTTTGGAAATTAAATACTTACATGTTTAATTTATCGATTCAACTTGCTTGGATCATTCGTGATGGTTCAACATGCAGAACGTACGATGCCAACTCAAGCCCAGTTGATCAAAGGTCAAGAAGCAAAGTAGCTGAGGAATGAGGCTACTGTTCTTACTAACGAAGGAGCAAGTCCAAATGGTTGACCAGGCGTCCACGCGATTGGGATGAATTTGCCTCTAAGTTAGATATATGTTTTTTTATAGATAGTACAAAAGGTCATTAAGCATTGTTTTGAAAGATTCTGATTTCTCTCACAATTTTTGAAGGTTCTTCCTTACCTCGAGTACAGGAAAATTTTCTTTTTAATCATTTTATTTCTAATTCTAATCATTCGGGTACTTTCATAGAGATCTGTAACGCAGATCGTTTGAATTCTAACCTAGATGATATCATCGCTAAACTCCCATCTGTAGAGAATATCCGAGTTAGTCTTGAGGGTGAGTTCAGCTTGAGTCATTTCGAAAACAAAAAAGGGAGTATGGTGGCCCTAAGCTATGAAGCTTGATGTACCTCGATTTTATGGCACCAATGTTGTTGGGTAGATTTTAAGATATCCTAATTTTTTTTTTATTACCTCAGTACAACGGACAATTAGTGTGTTCTGGTGGCTTCTTTCTATCTACCTTGATGGACCAGCATTACGTTAGTTTCAGTGGATGTAATGGCCAAATTTCCTCTTGGGATGGATTTATACAAGCTTTTAGATATGGTGTCACATTCTAAATTTTCTATACATTAAATTATAAATATTACTTATACTTTTTAATTATTAATTCATTGAATTTTCTACACTTCTAAGTAAAAAGACTAAAATCCCCTTGATTTGAAAAAAATTGGATTAAGGTTCCCATCAACGATTAACTAAAAACATTATGACTTAATAATTTCATTTTAAAGAAAGATGGATCATTTAAGAAAGTTAGAATTTAAATTACCAAAGTATCCTCACTTATATAAATAAAATTACCAACACCTAAAATGAGAAATATTCAAAATATCCTTAATTTATTTATAATGTTGAGCAACTTGGACGGATATTTTTAAAGGAACAATGGAAGCATGAACACCTTCAAAGTGAAGGAATATAAGTTGTCCATAATGGATAGGAATTGAATAAAATATTTTATTTTTATCCTTAATCATTATTTTAAAAAATTAAACATAACAATAAAAAAAACTTGAATTTCAGACATACAAATTTAAATTTAAACATAACAATAAATTGATTTTGATTTATAATAAAGAACCTATGCAGAAAAATTTTAAAATTTCAAATTTGTGATTCATATTTTAGAAAGCAGATATAAAAATCGCTCTTAAAGTGACATTTGGAGAGTAATTATATGAATTGTTTTCCATGTATATTCACTTTTGATATAATAGGATTTGTTAAAGCGTTTTGAACCGTTCTTTAAGATAATGTAGAACTATTATTTAATTTCTTTTCTATTATTGTAATTAGGCATACTTTTCATTCAAAATTAACTAGAATTTCTTCCTAAGTTCTAAACAAATGGAACAACCATTTTCTTCACGTTATGGGCTTTCAAAGGCAGCATAGTTAATGAGATTAGATTAAAATAATTCTTATAATCTATAAGTAAAGATTTCTTTAAAAAGGCATTAGAATCTTATCACTAACTAACTAGTTTCCTGCCAATTTCTTTCCTTTTCTTGTAATTGTCACCCAACAACTTTCTTTACATAAAATCCTGAATAATAAGGTGATTTTGATGGTCTACTTGACTGTTTGTCTAAAAATGTTTGTATTTCTTATTTACAGAATTTAATTTGTTCTTCATTCATTTATATAAGTTTACTTTTATTAGTATATTCTTTTCTAGGATTTCATCTTCACAAGAAAGATTGACTTCATATTTTTTCCTGTAATGAAAAGTTATAAGATTTATTTTGTAAATTTCTTTTTCTATTTTTTGTTGAATTTTTTTACTTTAGGTTATTCTAGTTATTGTTCTATTCTTTTATATTGCATTTATTTATTTAAAAGTTTTATTTGATTTTATTTATTTTCTAATAAATTCATTTCTTTTATTAAGACTTATTGCAAAAAATTGAGTTCCTTAGTTCTAAGGGCTTTTTAAAAATTCAAATAATACTCTTTTTCTTAGGACTACTTTTATATTTAATCCCTTATTGATTATTTGAAAAGGATATAATCATATTAAGAATAATGTCACTAAAATTACTGAATTGCTCATATTTTTTATTCATACAAAGGGTGTAGTGAAACAAATTCTTTCTTTACAAATTTTTACTTTTGGCATTTTGTAATTGTTAAGAGAAAAGAAAACGAAAGAGCATTGAGTGAATTCGTGTATCTCAACTACACATCGGAGCATATATTTATACTAGGAGCATTGATACAAGAATTAATTACAGAGATATTATGGTTACCTAATTACTATAATTACAGAAATATTATGGTTACCTAATTATTATAATTACAGAATTCGTGTATCTCAACTACACATCGGAGCATATATTTATACTAGGAGCATTGATACAAGAATTAATTACAAAGATATTATGGTTACTTAATTATTATAATTACAGAAATATTATTTCCCTAAATACAACATATCATCTCCCTAATTTTAGCATTACTATAATTACATGTTTCTATATTTACATATTTCTAACACTCCCCCTCAAGCTTGAGCATATAGATCATATGCACCAAGCTTGTTACATATGTAACTAATTCGAGGACCTCTCAAAGATTTAGTAAAAACATCTGCCAGTTGGTCATTTGAATTGACAAAGCTGGTGGTGATGTCCCCCGATAAGATCTTCTCACGAATGAAGTGGCAATCGATCTCAATGTGCTTTGTCCTTTCATGAAATATTGGATTTAAGGCAATATGCAAGGGTGCTTGATTATCACAAATAAGTGTCATTTGTGTAATCTCCCCAAATCTCAGTTCTTCGAGAAGTTGTTTCAGCCAGATAAGTTCACATGTGGCTAAAGTCATGGCTCGATATTCTACTTTCGCACTTGAGCGGGCAACTAAGCTTTGCTTCTTACTTTTCCAAGAAATCAAATTCTCTCCAATAAGAATGCAATAGCCAGAAGTAGATATTCTATGAATAGGAGAACCTGCCCAATCTGCATCAAAGTAACCTACAATCTGAGCATGACCCTTGTCCTCATACACAAGTCCTTTCCCTAGGGCTCCTTTGATATATTTTAAGATCCGAATCAATGCGTCCCAATGTCCTTCGTAAGGAGAATTGAGAAATTGACTTACCACACTGACTGCATAAGAGATGTCTGGATGAGTGATAGTAAGATAGTTTAACTTCTCAACCAATCTCCTATACTTCTCTGGGTCAAAAAAAGGCTCCCCCTGACTTGGCAGAAGTTTGGGATTAGGATCCATAAGAGTATCCACATGTTTAGCACCCATCAAACTTGTTTCCTCTAAGATATCCAATGCGTACTTCCTTTGGGAAATAACAATACCATTCTTGGATTGTGCCACCACTATTCCCAAGAAGTATTGAAGTCTGCCAAGGTCTTTTGTCTGAAAATTGTGACATAGGTGTTGTTTTATCTGTGTAATGTCATAATGATCACTGCCAGTAATAACAATGTCATCGACATAAACAATCAAGTAAATGCATCATGTAGGTGAATGGCGGTAGAAAACTGAATGATCTGATTCACTCTGAGTCATCCCAAACTGTTGGACTACAGTGCTGAATCTACCAAACCATGCCCTAGGAGACTGTTTAAGGCCATATAGGGATTTTTGAAGATGACAGACTAATCCAAAAGACTCCCCCTGAGCAACAAAACTAGGAGGTTGCTCCATATAGACTTCCTCAGTGAGATTACCATAGAGAAAAGCATTCTTCATGTCAAGCTGATAAAAAGGTCACTGGCGGATGGCAGCCATGGACAAGAATAAGCGAATAGATGTCATTTTGGCAACGAGAGAGAAAGTATCACCATAATCCAAGCCAAAGATTTGAGTATAACCTTTGGCGATGAAGCGAGCTTTAAGGCGATCAACACACCTATCAGGGCCAACCTTAACTGTGTAAACCCATCGACATCTGACAACTGATTTGCTTGCTGGCAGGGGAGCTAGGTCCCAAGTTCCACTGCTCTGAAGTGCACTCATCTCATCAAGCATAGCTTGACGCCAACTAGGATGTGAAAGAGCTTCATTGGATATTTAGGAATAGAAACAAAAGATAAAGACGAAAGGCACATATAGTGGAAGGAAGATAAACGATGATATGATAAAGCAACATAATGAAAAGAAGGATTGCGAGTGGAACGTATACCTTCGCGAAGAGCAATAGGAAGATCTGGAAAAGGTAAATGAGTTGGAGCCAGTGGTGAGTCAGATGAATTCCCTTCATTGGCTAGTAGTAGCAAGGGAGGTGGGTGGGGCCATCGGAGATAAACCTGTAAAGGACACAAAGGAGGAGCATCGGGAGGAGAGTCATTTGGTGGAGGTGGTGTCTCTGGGGGTTGAAAAACAACAGGATTAGGTGGTAGAGATATGACAGATTGAAAAGGTGCTGGAGAAGCCGTAGACTCAAAGAAAGGAACAAACTCAAAGAAAGAGACGTCAGCGGAGATAAGATAGCCTTTAA